CCCCCCCCCCCCAGCATGTGGCTGGCATCAGGGCTCGTGCCTCACCTGGTCCCCGGGTCTGCCACCAACACATCGTCCTTGAGCAGGTTCAGGGCTTCCTGGGTGCTACCCCTCCACAGCAGCGAGGTGGAGCGCAGCCTTCTGGGCAGCCCTGAAGAGGAGCAGTGGGCAGACCGGATGGGCCAGCTAAGGGGGCGTGGCGGGCCCCTAGGTGCTCTCCCTCCCCCACCTCCCATGGGTTGAGCGATACCAACAACCAGTTCCATTTTTTAAAGAAAGAAAACCAGCCTAGCGTGGACTCCAGTCCTGCCTTCTCTTCCTGCCTGTGTTTCACCTGGTAGATCACTTAACCTCTCTGAGCCCCAGCACCTCATCTGTAACATGAGGAAAATCATTTCTGTCTCATAGGACTGATGTGAGGATTCGATGATCTAAAATGCTTCAGCATGCTGCCTGGCACATACTAACTGCTCACAAAATAATTGCTATCCTCAGCTCTGGAAAGTTTAATTCCAACAACTTCCTGAGGTCAGTGACCAAAAACAGGTTTTGTGGAATTGGCCCCTCTGACCACTTGGAATGTTCTGTTTATTGGATGTGCCTTCTCACATTGCAGGACTGGGGTTTCTTCCATCATTGGTAGTTGGTGGATATCTATTTGATGCCATAGGGCCCTTCACCTGCAGGGCCCCTTCCAAGTCCTGCATCTAATTTTGAAATTAAAATATAAGTTCATCAGAGCTGTCATCATTATTTGTTGAGGTCTGGCAATTAAGTTCATGAACTTGCCACTGTGCACTTACATTGACAGCACTGTGTTGGAAATAAATAACCGTATTGGAACACCCTCCCTACTCACCTGATCCGGCCCCCAGTGACTTCTTCTTTACCCGAAGATAAAGGAAATATTGAAAGGAAGACATTTGATGACATTCAGAACATCAAGGTAATATGACGATGGCTCTGATGGTCATTCCAGAAAAAAAACTCCAAAATTGCTTTGACAGGTGGACAAGGCACTGGCATCAGGACATAGCTTCCCAAGGGGAGGACTTCAAAGGTGACCGTAGTGATATTCAGCAATGAGACATGGAACACGTGTTCTAGGATGAGTTCATGAACTTGATTGTCAGACCTCAGGTATTCATATGTACATATACATTGTATATGTATATATTGTTTTTATTCTTTATTTAGATGGCAGCATACAATATATGTTATGAGCTTTCTTCCTACTTAGTATTATATCATATTTCAGCCCAATACCCAAAGAACCTTATTGTCCTTTTGGGGCAGGACTACATAGTGCTTGACTGTATAGCTGTGTCACAGTTTATGTAACCATTCCCCTACTGATAGACATCTAGGTTGCTATTACAGACAGTGCTGTAGTGAGCAGTTGTGTAAATCCCCCATATGTTCACAAGCACATCTGTAAGAGAATTTCCCAGAAGGGAAATTGCTAAGTCAAGGGGTATATACATTTTTTTTTAAGTTGGAAGTGTCACTCCGTCACCCAGGCTGAAGTGCAGTGGCACACTCACAGCCACCCCAGCATTGACTTGCTGGGCTCAGGAGATCCTTCTGCCTCAGCCTTCCAAGTAGCCAGAACTACAGGCACGCACTACCACACCCAGCTAATTTTTTAATTTATTGTAGAGACAAGGTCTCACCAAGTTGCCCAGGCTGGTCTCAAACCCCTGGGCTCAGGCAATCCTCTCACCACAGCCTCCCAAAGTGCTGGGATTACAGGTTTGAGCCATTGCACCTGGCCGGGTAGATACATTTTAAACTGTGATATCACCAATCGCCTTCTATACAGGCTGCATGTAAATTCCCATCACTGGTGTCTAAGAGTGCCGGCTTCTATTTTCTTTCTTCTTTTGTTTGAGTTGAGGTGTAACTCTGTCACCCAGGCTGGAGTGCAGTGGCACCATCACGGGTTACCACAGCCTTGACTGCCTGGGCTCAGGCGATCCTTCTGCCTCAGCCTTCTGAGTAGCTGGGACTACAGGCACCAGATAAACCACCACACCCGAGTAATTTAGGGGGCTTTTTTTGTAGAGAGAGGTCTTGCTATGCTGCCTAGGCTGGTCTCAAAGTCCTGGGCTCAAGCAATCCTCTGGCCTCAGCCTCCCAGAGTGCTGGGATTATAGACATGAACCACGCCCAGCCTTCGGGTAGTTTTAATTTGCATTTCTTTTGTTATGAATGATGTTGAGCATCCTTTAATATTTTTTAACATTCATAAGAGACTTTTCTGCCAACTGTCAAGTCTGTCCCTATCCTTTGCCTATTTTTCTGTTGGGCTGTTGGTCTTTGTATTCATTTGCAGACGATCTTTATATATTAAGGGACATTAGATGTTCATTATAGAATTGTCGACAAATAGTGACTTGTTGACTTGCTCTGTCAACTTGATCTTGACCTGCCATCTAATCCTGATTTGTCTACTTGATTTAAGTCTCCAGGCTTCAGCTTTTTCCTCTCAAGTGGTTTCTATCCCTGACTGACTACCAAGCCCTGTGAGAGGGAGATATGGCCAGATCAGGACACAGAGAAGAGGGTGGGCCCAGCCTGGCTGGATGAGACCTTGGTCCTCAGTCCCTCCACTGAAGTGGCTTAGTGGATCAGGGTGGGTCAGTTCTGAGACTCACCTGAGAGCTGGCTGGCCATCCTTCGCAGGGTGACAGGTGAAGGCCTCGGGGCGGGGCCCACCTCCTGCAGCCCGTCCACCAGGCCCGGCTGTTCCAGGGCTGACACTGCGCCCAGTGGGTTGTTGATGGTGAAGGTGCTGGCATAACGCTCCAGGGGGTCGTCCAGGGAGGCCACGATGCCCTCCTCCCACAGGCGGTACAGCATGAGGACTGGGAAGATCTTGGAGATGCTGGCGATGCTAGACAGCATTGGGCACAGAGGGCAGAGGCCATCCCGTTGACCCCCCCTCCCACCCTGTGGCCCCAGCCTGCAACGTTCAAGTATTTCAGAAAAGCACCGAGTCCACCTTAAGTCAGCTTCTCACCCAGAAATCCACCAGCCTCTGTGGAACTGCCTCTGGGACTGGGTGGGGTGGGCACATCTGCCCACCCACCCTGTGCCAGGCTTTCACGGGGCACCTCCCATTTGGGAACAGGCTTAGTTTGGATGGCATCTCTGCCTCCCACTGGCCGCGTGGCTTTAGGCAAGTTGCTAGACCCTCCTGAGATTCCATGTCACCGTCCACATCATAGGTTGGAAAAAGTATCGAACGAGATTGTGCTTGTAAAGTGCTTGTCAGCACACCTGGCAGGTGGTGAGTGGTCCATAAATGAGAGCAAATATGACTGTTGGCCCCAGGTGGGGCACAGAGCAGGTGCAGCTTGCGAGCTCTCTCCCTCCGGATGCCTGTAACACCCACTGGGAACATGTGTTGCATTGTCAGCTTTGAGGATCCTGCAGGTGGCACCAGGGGAAACTCCAGGTATGCAACTGAACATCCCTGCTGCTTCCATCTGGGCCACTGCTACCGACTGAAGGGACCCAGAGCAAGGACCCAGGAACTGGCTATGGTTCCTTGGTGGCACATGGGGTGGGGGGAGGTGGCACAAGGGACTCTCCGAATTTGAGAAGTTTGGGTCCAAGGTTCTCTTAGGAAGGAATGCCTTCCTATGATGTGGCATTGGGCACTGACTGGTCCTCTCTGGACCTCAGTCTCAGCTTCTATAAAATCATCAAGACGGCCAGACATGGTGGCTCAAGCCTATAATCCCAGTATTTTGGGAGGCAGAGGTGAAGGGATTGCCTGAGCCCATGGGTTCGAGACCAGCCTGGGCAACTTGGCAAGACCTAATCTCTACAATAAATCAAAAAATTAGCTGACATGGTAGTGTGCACCTGTTGTTCCAGCTACTTGGAAGGCTGAAGCAGAAAGATCACCTGAGCCCAGCAGGTCGATGCTGGGGTGGCCATGAGCATGCAACTGCACTTCAGCCTGGGCGACGGAGTGAGACTTCAACTCAAAAATAAAAAAATAAAATCGTCAAGAGTTAGTAATGGGCTGGCAGCTTAGATCCCCAGCCATGATTCTCCTGAGTGCTCCTACCTCCTAAGTCCCCTTTGCCCTCCCAACCCTTGACCCCTCCACAGGACCCTGGAGGTCACCCAGCTCACCGGTACATGGTGTACTCATTGGGGGTCCCAGAAGCTGGATCTGAGCCATTCTTCTTCCCAAAGTTCCCAGTCCAGAGCACAGTGTCATTGTGAATGACAACTGCAGACATGGCAGCCAGACCGGGGGCAGACATTGCCTGGCGAAGGATCCCATCCACCTGTGGGGAGGATAACAGGTGTGGTGACAGCCTCTCCCCTGCCCTCACCCCTCCAAGTCATCCCACACACCTGCCCTTCCCACAGCCACACCCTGCCCATAGCCTCCAGGGAGCCTCTGGACCTCGTGTTCCCAAACCATGCCCTGTGGGGTGGCCCTACTGTTTTATATGGGGCTTCCTTGTGAGAGTTTTGCTGGGAGAAACATTTCCTTGGCAAAATAAGGAGAGGGGTTAAAACTACTAACTGAGTCAAATCCTGTCTGATGCCCTAGGAGAACCTTCAGTGGGTCTAGCCTGACCCCCTCATGTTGGGGAATTCACTATTTATAGAAGGCTTCTAGGCCCTCTTTAAACATGTATTGAAAGTACCTCCTTATTTTCAATGGTGATGATAACAGCTAACGTTCACTGGACATTTAGGATGTGCCAGGCATGGCATAACGTGATTTTCATAGTCTCCTTTACTCCTCACAAGTCGGTGCTTATTTGTCCCCATTTTATGGACAAGAAAAAATGAGTCTGTGAGCTAGGAGGTGACTTGCCCAAGTGGCTAATAGTTGGTGGAATCAAGGCTGGAACCCTGTGCAACCTGCAGCCCAGCTCTTAATCACTCAACCTCCCTTGCCAAGCAGGCTTACACGTCCTTGGCTGCCTTCCATCTCCTTCAGTTTCCATCCCTACAATAGCCTTGTCTCGCTGAGCCTCAGTTTCCTCCTCTGGGGTAGGATTCACGAGGAATGCACACGAGCGGTTAGCAACACACCTGCCACACACTAGAGGCTCAATAGGAGGCAGCCATGGTTATTATTGTTGCTTTTATTAAAAAAAAAAAAAAAAAAAGTCCTATGACCCCTGGAAGCCACATAGCACCTTCCGCTCCCTCTGCTCCACGGGAACTTTGCCGATATTTGCAGTGATGGGCTCCTGCCTTGGCCCAGGCCTTCTCTCCTCGGAATTCATCACCCTCATCCTTTAACTGTTCCTAGGATGACAGTTTCAAGTCCCCCCACCGTGCTGCAGCTCGAAGGCTTAGGGTGTTTCATTTGACTCCATGTCCCCTAAGGTGAGTAACCCAGGCACAGACTGGGGCTGGTGACACCTCCCTCCAGTGCCTTGCCATCCTGCAGTGGGAAAAGTCGCATTGTGGGCTATGCAGGTGGGTGTGGTGTGCACTTAATCACACTGCAGTGCCTCTGTGACGTGGGCGCCGTCATCCTCCTCCACTCCTCTTCCCCATCTCTTGCCTGCGGCCTCCTAGTCGGCTGCGTGTGCCACCTACTTGCTCTGCAGCCCCCAGGCCTTTGTGTGTGCTGTTCCACCTGCCTGGATCCCACCCCTCCAGCCCCAGGTTCCCTTGCTGTACACACACCATTGAGTGTCTCCAGCATGTTCACATCTCAGCCAAGATACCACATCCTCCAGAAGCTCCCCCAACCCTCAGCCAGTTCCTTTGTGCCCTTGCAGTTCCCTAAACTTTCCCCATGTTTTGTGTTGTCCTGACTGTTCCCCTCATTCCCAGGCTGACAGTTGTTTTTTTGTTGGTTTTTTTTGAGTCAAGTCTCACTCTGTCACCCAGGCTGGAGAGCAGTGGCATGCTCACAGCCACACCAGTGTCAACCTACTGGACTCAGGCAATCCTTTCACCTCAGGCTTCCAAGTAGCCAGAACTACAGGCACATGCTACCATGCCCGGCTAATTTTTTTGATATATTGTAGAGAAGAAGTCTTGCCAAGTTGCCCGGGCTGGTCTTGAACCCCTGGACTCAGGCAATTCTCTTGCCTCGGCCTCCCAAAGTGCTGGGATTATAGGCTTGAGCCACTGCGCCTGGCCTAGGCCGACAATTGCTTGAGAACAGATCTGTATCTTCTTTCTGCCTATCCCTAGTGCCTAGCACAGAGCAGATTCTCAAGAAATCCATGTTAAATGAATGAATGAATGAATGAATGTCACTGCCAGCACAGAGGGCGTGCCCCCTATCACCCTGGACTAGCCCACACTCCCACATGCCTTTTGGGCCATCACTGACCTTTTCCAGGGCCTCCTTCAACACGGGGAGGGGGTGGGCCAGCGGCACGGGCTCGGGGTGCCGGGGACACATCATCACGGGGGCAGAGGTCTCTTCTGGTCCCAAGGAACCTGGAAGGAACATCACATGGTGAGTAGGGGACAGAGATCAGGCAAGGGTCATCCTAGGCAAGTGGGGAGAAGTGACAGCAAAGACCAGAGCCTGCCTCCTGGGCAGCCCACCCCAGCCGACGAACGCCTTACCAGGACACGTCAAGGTACGGAGAGCAGTCACAGGCATGGAGGCACGGGGACCAGGGTATGCAGGGGGAGGCATGGCCCTACACACAGCACCCATCAGGCCACAGCCCCAGCCGGTAGTCCCAGCACTCCCTTCCCTGTGCTCGGCCAGCTTCCCGTCACCATGCAGCTAGCAGACTTAGGCCGTCCTGGCTCCTTGGGGCAGGCTCATGTCTGTCTGTCCATCTCTCGTCTCCTCTTCCTGATTATATATTTTTGGGTGGACTCAGAGCCTCACTTAGGCCAAACTACAAGGGACAGCTCATTCTGTCACCACAGCTGAGCATCGGGCATGGGGCTTGAGTCTGCTCTGCTTGCATCCGGGTGTGTGGCCTCCTTGGCACCTCGGGGGAAGTGAGGGCACCAGCAGGACAGGAGTCAGGCTGTGATGTCTGCACAGCAGTGCCCAGGCCCCACCTCATCCCCCAAGGCCAGTGTGGGATATGAAGGGGAATGAGCACGCCCAGAAGCTACATCCTTCTCTCCTTCCCCTGCCTCCTGAGACTCCACCTAAAACCGGGACAGGGTCCTTGTGGTAGGTTCGGTGTAGCCATAAATTGTCAGCTCCTCCCATCTTTTGAACCTGGCTGGTTTTGGGACTTGATTTGACCTTAAAAGAAGGCCGGGCCGGGCGTGGTGGCTCAGCCTGTAATCCCGGCACTTTGAGAGGCTGAGGCGAGAGGATTGCCTGAGCCCAGGGGTTTGAGGCCAGCCTGGGCAACTTGGTGAGACCTCATCTCTACAATAAATCAAGAAAAAATAACTGGGCGTGGTGGCACGTGCCTGTAGTTCCAGGCTGAAGCAGAAGGACCGTCTAAGTCCAGCAGGTCGAGGCTGCGGTGGCTGTGAGTATGCCATTGCACTCCAGCCTGGGTGACAGAGTGAGACTCCAACTCCAAAAAAAAAAAAAAACCACACACAAAGGAGGCCAAACTTTCTAGGCTAGGCCTCAAGGGCCTTGCTCCCTGAGAGACTGCCCCCTTGTGGACAGGGCTGGGATAGCGACCCTGAGAACCAGAGCCCACCCTGAAGGAGAGGCTCCCTCTCAATACCCACTGCATTGAAGACCGCCCAGGCTAGACCAGCTGCAGATCTGCAAGCGAGCCCACAGCATCTTGAGAAATAAAGTTGCTTTGCTGGAAGCCAGTAGGCTTTGGGGTGGTCTGTTACTTAGCAACAGATAACCGATATGGTCCCAAACGGGGAAATTACAAGCCTTAGGGAGGATTTCTCAGCAACTCCATGACCTAGGCTTAATAATTAGAGTAGGGGAGGCTGGCACAGTGCCTCACTCCTATAATTCCAGAACTTTGGGAGGCCAAGGCAGGAGGATCGCTTGGGACCAGGAGTTCGAGATCAGCCTGGGCAACATAGTGAGACCTCATCTCTACCAAAACATAAAGAAATTAGCCAGATGTGTTAGCACCCACCTGTAGTCCCAGCTACTTGGGAGGTCGAGGCAGAAGGAGCCCAGGAAGTCAAGGCTGCAGTGAGCTGTGATTGTGCCACTGCACTCCAGCCTAAGCGACAGAGACTCTGACTCAAAAATAATAATAATAAAATTATTATTATTATTATAGTAGGGGGTCTCAGCTAGAGCCCCGGCCTTGCTCAGCCCGGGACCCAGGTAGGACTGGCCTCGGCAGCTGTGTTCCTCTAACCTCAATGTGAGCGCACACAAAACCTAAATGTGGGAATCTTAGAAGGCAGATGTGATTCAGGGGATGGGGTGGGGCCGACAGGCCTCGTTTGAACCACGTCTCAGTTGATGCCCATGGGGGAGCGAGGACCTAGAGCAGTGTGGTCTGTTTCCCATGTGTGACAAATTAAGCGCAAAAGTTGAGAAAAAGCATTTAGAAACTTTTACAGCAGTTTGACGGAGTAACTTTGCGTCTGCTTAAACTAATAAATAATTCAAAAAAACTTGGCCTTCTATTCTGTATTTTGTATGCCTTTTTAAATATTCCCCAATAATTCCTTTTCTTTCTCTCTTTTTTTTAAGAGATTCTCATTATGTTGCCCAGGCTGGACTTGAACACCTAGGCTCAAGCAATCCTCCCACCCCAGCCTCCTAAGTAGCTGGAACTACAGGCACATGCCACTACACCCAGCTTGCCTAATAATGCATTCTTATGCATCTTTATAAGTGACACCGGCCCACTTTGGACTGGTAGCTTAAGAAGTGTGGCCCTCGAGGACAGGCCAGCCTGCCTTCCCAGGGTCTACTTGCTTGAGGGACTAAGAATCCCCTCATCAAGGAACTCACCCCAGTAAGAAAGGGAAGGGGTAGGAGAGGAAGGAGCTGGCAAGAAATTAAGAGGAGGCATTTCTGCAAAACTTTGTGTGGGATGTGGGAGCTCTGGGCACCTCATTGAGTTTTGGGGCATCTGTAACACACAAGGTGACACAGAGGAGTGAAGAGAGGCGTTCTCCCTCACTTTAGCAGAAACCTGGGGCCCTGGACCACCCAGGATCCCAGCAGCTTGGAGGGCCCAGGGTTGCTATAGCTACAAGGGCCTGGTAGACATCACCAGCAATGACAGCTCGGTGGCTGAACCTTGACCAGCCCAGGAAAGAGAGGCTGCAAGAAACAGCAGGTGCCACTGGACACCCTGTGAGTTGTTCCTCTCTGGGTCTTAGATATCACTGCAGGAGGATCTCAGAAGGGGGCTAGGGCCTGGAGGTCCCATCGTGGGAGCTGAAGGTTTGTACTGGATGACTTGAGGAAACCCCAGCAGCAGTAGGATCCTCATTTTATACACAAGGGCACAGTTAGTGAAAGCTGGAGTGAGAACGGAGGCCAGAGATTCTGAGTCCAAAGCTTGTGGTCCTCCCCAACGCCCGCAGATCAGGGGCAGCAGCACAAAGCCCAAGAGGATGCTCAGGTAGGATGGGGGAGCCCCCGGCTGTCGACACTCACCAGTCTTCAGCTTGGGGAGGTGGTACTGCCACAGGAAGCAGCTGGTCATGACCACCGAGAGCAGGCAGAAGAAGCCACAGACGGCCGGGAGCAGCCACTTCTTCCTCACTTTCAGCAGGCCGGGCCGCCGGCCAGCCTGGGAGAGAAAGGACACGGGTCACAGCCCCCTGGGTGTCAGTCAGAGGAAAGGCAGGGATCCTGGCCCAGGCCCCTCCTGGGCCTCAGATGTACCCACACCTTCCCAGGGCAACCCCTTCGACGGCTCTGTCCTGCATGAGCTCCCACGCTTCCATCCCTCTGCTTGCCATGCCCACCTGCCATGTGCTCAGTGAAATATCTCCACATTGGCTGAAATGCCACCTCCTCCAGGAAGCCTTCCCTACCTCTCCTCACTCATGTCCCTTCCCAAGGCACATCGGAGCAAGCATCCATGATAGTGCAAATTCACCCCTCGTTGTGGGCAGCCACTGTTCCACAGTATCAGTGGATCTGCCTGACAGAGTGTGAGCACCCCAAGGATGGGCCACTCCTCCCCCATCTCCCGCCCCCACTTGTGGCCTCTGACTCGTGCTGGCTGCTCAGTACACGTTTGCAGAGCGAATGTACAAGTCCTAAGAACTCAGGACAAGCCAGGCTTGGTGGCTCAGCCTGTAATCCCAGCGCTCTGGGAGGCTGAGGTGAGTGGATTGCCTGTGCCCACAGGTTCGAGACCCACCTGGGCAACTTGGCAAGACCTCATCTCTACAATAAAATTAAAAAAAAATTAGCCGGGCATGGTAGCGCACGCCTGTAGTGCTGGCTACTTGGAAGGCTGAGGCAGAAGGATCGCCGGAGCCCAGCAGGTCAAGGCTGCAGTGGCCAGGAGCATGCCACTGCACTCCAGTCTGGGTGGCAGAGTGAGACTCCAACTCAAAAAAAAAAAGAACTCAGGATGAAGTTTCCCCCACTCCCTCCAAACACCCACTTTCCAGAACACCCACCTCTCCCCTCCTCCATGTGTGTGATCTTGAACCTGGGAGACAGCACCCCGTGGGCACACAGAAAGTCCCCCCTTCACATGTGATTGCCACTCCAGGGGCAGCTGGCTCTGGGAGGCTGGTGGCATTGCCACGGCCCCGCAGTGCTGTGCCACGGTGAGCGGAGGAAACTTTACAATGGGAAGCGACTTGTTTGGAGACCTCACGGAAGGAAAGATGGACGGGGCTAAAGGGACTGGGGTCCCTTCCACAGATGGGGCGGGGTGGAGGAAGCACAGCTTGGGGGGTGGGTGAGAGGCAGACCACAGTGTAGACATGAGGCACACAGGTCCTGACACCTGCCAGGAGGAGGAAGAGGAGGACAGCAGGAGGTGACTGAGATATGGGAGAGGGAGGGTGTGGCAGCCTAGCCCCCCACAAGGATTGTGTGTCCCCTCACTGCCTAGAATCCTGGAAATGTAGTGCCACCTCCACCTGCAACCCCGTCCCAGGGACAGTGCTAAGGTTTCTTTTTTTTTTTTTTTTTTT